GATGAACTTATCTGGATATCCGTTTTCACTCAGCATATCAGGGATAAGTTTCCAAGTTTTAATAGAAGTTTGGACTGCAACTAGTAAGTGACACATTCATTCGATGTCTCAGTGTCAGTATTCACTTGGTAAGAAACCTTTCTTTTATATCTAGGTTTTGAGTTTGCTGGCATTCACTAGATGTATATGCAAGTCGTAGGAATCTGACATTACTTCGGGGACTCAAACTTGCATCGCCTATTGTTAATGTCAGAAATTCTCCTACTTACATGCTTAAGACATGAGTAGTCTGTGAGATACACGTTGGAATCTGAGAATGAGATTCAGTAGCTTTTTTCTCGAGGTTATAAATGACACTTATTTATCACTGGTAACAACCATAAAAGCTAAATCCGACCTTTCCTAATTAATTATTGATTTCACATATGTTTGCAGCGAGAAAGATTTTCATTCATTATGATAATAAATGGCAAGGTGAAATGATCGTAAGTAAAATATAAGAAGTACACGACAAACTATCACTTTATCCACTTTCGATTGGTCACTGGAGGCTAACTAACCACATGTTGTTTAGTCTGAAGTGGTGGTCGAATTCTATCGATCATTTTGCAACTTCACGATGGACTTTAGTGGGTGTTAGTTGATTGGAGGCAATCAGAAGGAAGCTCTGTATGTAGGCACTCATGAGCGTCCCATAGGAGTTCAGTTACGTTCGGAATAGCTCAGTGGTAACGGTTGTGACTTCAGCAGTTGGCGACGTGGTTTAGAATCCCAGGCAGGAAATCACTTCCGTAGAGATTGGAGATGTGCCTCGTTGACGAGTGCCAACAAGTACGGAACCTGGTCCCTGGTGTTCTTGCCGATTTCCGAAATCCAGCTAACACCTACCACATTTTCCATATTCACTACACTTTGCGCATTTCGGGTATTGTCATATTTGCCGTATATTTTTCCCCGTGTCGCTACACCATCTGTTTGTTGAAGATGAAGTAACCATGAATATAGGTAATCAGTTTTTATGAAGAATGAGTGATGTGGGTATTGTTTTTAAAATAAAGACAAAAAAACGATAGCGATGTGATGAAATGATGCATGTATGAGTCTATTAGGTGATTAACTAACTAACTAACCATTGTAACCTCTTTTTGTAAATATGTTACTGCTTGTCATTTTCCTTCGTTGATTGGAGTGAATTGACAAGTATCTACTGGCATATGAGCTCCTACGCTGATGCCCTGATATTGCCTTTGTTTTCACTTTGGTAGCAATAATGGATGGTGGCTAGCGCGTTTCGTCCTATTTCGGAGACGTCAGGTGAGTGAGTCCGCCTCCAAGTGAGCGTTGTTCCTACTATGAAATGGTTGCGTCAAACACCTAAGCATTATTCACTGAGTTACAACAACAACACTTTGTGCGACAGTTACAGTAGGCACAACATCACTCACTGAGATGTAGGTACATTCAGTTGACTAGTTCCAAATACGATAAGACGTGAGTTCTGGATTTCACTGCTAGCCCCTGTCCATCACTGTTATCATACTGTGCCCTATTCACCTAGAGTTTAGAGAGAGAGAGAGCAGTAAGACAAATATTGAAGGCTGATCAATTGATTTGCACTGGTTGGATTAGTCAACTGTTGATCATTTAACAGTCTCATTTGAAGATAACAGATAGGTATTTTTTGGAGATAAAAGTCTTGTCTTGTATATCACTAAGCATTTTAAACAAAATTTGTGTGGAAAAAAGTCATGCTTATTTAATGATCATTTGTAAACGTTCAAAGTATGTGAACCTTTGAATACTACATTGGAGTAAAAGAGAATTGATTGCTTAGCATAACGGTAATAACTGTTTAACTTTCTTCAGATTTTGATGTTTGATCAGTAGAAATCATGGCTACTTTCAGGTGTTCACTCAAAATTCTTCAAAGTACACTGGTTCTTGATACTTGATGGGATTGATGATGAGCAGTACCAAACTACGTGTTTGAAAAATCCATGCATCGACGTGATACTAACACAGCTATATAAGTTTAGATTAGGGAATTTTCGGGTAGTGAAATGTTTAGACCATGATGTGATTTTCTAGAGGGTAATGATGGTGTTAATGGCTTATAACTATTCACATCGTTCGGTAATATATGTCACATGGTGTTTATACTCCTGTTTTTGACGTAATGGGTTATGTCAAACAGTTCACATATTGTCGATTTCATATTTTGTAATGAATAAACAACCTCGCCTAGAAACAAGGCTGTCACCTACTATCACTGATGATCTATCTGATTGTGGTCCCCTGGATCATGCAGCAAACCGTGAGGAGCAAGAAAATGGGCATACGCTACTTGACCAACGAAAAGACCCTAGAAGATTTGGACTTCGTCGATGGTGATTTGTGTCTAATGTTTTGTCGCACAAACTCGAAGATCTACAGGCGAAAACCAACAGGCTGACAGGAGAGATGAGGCAGCGAAGAGAGATGGGATTTCCTTCAGGTGAACGTAGAGAAGACAGACGTGATGAAGATACCCAACCAACAACAGCACCACCACCAACAATCACCAATCACCATCAACGGAAGAAATCTAAAGGAAGTGGTCTGTTTCACCCACCTACCTAGGCAGCATGGTTTACACTACGAGCGGCACAGGCACAAGCACAGGCACAGGCACAGATGAAGAGGTGAAAGCCAGGATCGGAAAGACAGCAAGGCAGGCCTCCCTGCATTAATCTGAAACCAGTGTGGAGATCTACTGCACTACACCACACTCCACTGCACTGCACTGCACTCAGCATAAAGCGTGAACAACATCTGTATTGTCAACACTAATGTCAGTTAAGTAAGTCAGTGCTTCTATGTGATGATTGAGAGACTTGGCGCCTCACGAAAAGCAAAGCATTTGCAACAAACTACAGACGTACATCGCATCAACAGCTGTCACGTAGGCTCACTCGATACTGAAGATGAGATGAGATGTAGAGAATAATAAGAATGAGAATAAGCAAGAAGGAACTGTGGCTGGCTGGGTGGCTGGCTGGCTGGTTGGCTGTCAACGAACCAACCAAGAACCCATCACCCAACAAATATGCAACAGAAGAAAGTGGAGATGGATTGGATTTGATTGAATTGGGCATCCACTGAGGAGATTATTTTAGGTCATCGCGCGTCAGGTGAGTGCCTGGAGTGTAATGCAAAGGGGAAAGGACGAGTTGGGCGTCGTAGCGGTGGGTGACATGGAGGAGATGGTGTGAGGAAGAAATGAAAGGTTTTGGGGCAGTCGTGGAGATAGGTTAAGAAAGAAGAGTGAAGAGGAGTGAAATGGTGACATGCTACTGAAGCCCTATGTTCTACTAGGAACCCAGGAGACAAATAATAATTTTAATAATTAATAAACGTCTCTATGTTTCTGTTTATTGTTATTGGATTTTAAGTATTATGTCATTTGCACTGAGGTGTACTTATTTGACATTTGCACCGTTTGTTACCTGTTATAAATTTCAATTACTTGTTTCCTCTGAAAACAGCCAGTTCTAATATGATGTGAATAATTGATCCCCACGCTAAACTGTAGTCGTTTACTGTGATTCCTCGGATTCGGAAGACTCTTTTGGCATTCGGCAACTTACGTTATTTGTCTCACGGGTGAGATATGCGACTGTTTATCAAAGGACGACAGTACTGTGCTACAGTCCTTCCTATGCTGTTATATAGGTGTGAGACCTGGCTGTCATAGGTGGAATAAATGAAGCGGTCCGAAGGTTTTGGTAACAGATGTCTTCGTAACATTTTTCGCGTATTGTGGAGCCGTTATTTAAGTAATGTTGAGGTTAGGCAAGGGGTACTAGCTAAGACAAGCCCGTCTGTCAATGAAGTTGTGAAGGTTAAGCGGTTGAGTTGACTTTGATATGTGCTGTAACTGTTGAGTCACCGCCTACCTCAGCGTCCAATGCTAAGAAAGCTCGATAGGGTTGGAATAGGGTTCAGGGTGACCAGACCAAGAATTGGCACTAGTACACGAGACTTTTGAATGTTGGCGTGAATTGTGTAGGGAGGTGTAGACTACCTGGCTGGGATCCTGGAGATAATAGGAATCATTGGTTGAGGACTGTTATAATCTACGAATTTTTTATTCGCTCACACAACTTTTTCTATTTTGGTGCCAATCTTTTTCTATCCACCTGTTCCTTTGTGTACCACTCTGAAGTGTGGCGACTTCAATCGATGCACTTGTATGTGAGGTTCTACATTGATTTAGTTTTTCTATTACTGTAATTCACCTCTTCATACCATCACTCTACATGTACTTAGAAAAAGAATCATAAATTTCTTATTCTCATGAGCTTCACTAATCGACCCTTGAATGTTCAACAATCTTGGTTGTTTGTATCGGTTTTTCTCTGAGAATTTAAGTTATATTGAGAATATTTTAAAATTTAGTTTTATGCAGGATTGTAATATGCAGATTCCACTTAACTCGTTTTACGTCTCACTTTAGTTGACTAGTAGGAATTTTATTGATACTGTAAAGTGTGACGACTTAAACTGATGCAGTTGTGTGCGAGGTTTTACTTTTATTTTGTCTTTCTGCTGTCTGACTTGATTATGTTTTGTACGCAATTTATTTATTGTCCGAATCATATCCAGGTGGTCGTTCAATAGCTAATAAGTTCTAAAACGTGGAACCTCATGCTTTGTTGATTTTCCTGTGTATACATGAAGTCATGAACATACATTTTATGTTGGTTCACATTCATTAGCCGTGCTTACATACAGCTTTGAGATTAGCTGCGATCTTAATCTGATTTGAACATGCTTCATTCTACATTGTTTGAGCATATTGGATTCTTCGTTGAGTGAACTTTGATTGTTACTGAGCAACAGATAGAAAGAAATGCAATCTACTAATTAAAAATATTTCCTCATATAAAGAATTTGGACCCCATTATTATTATTATTATTATTATTATTATTATTATTATTATTATTATTGATGGTTGCAGGTTGATGAACTCTTAGAAAAGTATGAAGAAAATACAATGAATGAACTTGGTAAATTGTTAGCTGGTAAATTAAATATACCACTGAATGATAATGACAGTCTTCCCTCATGGTTTCCTCGTTTAACATCACAAGTTCGAAATTCTATTGGTGATTCTTTACCAACCTCAGAAGTAACTGTTAGACAGCCTAATCCTGTCTCAAATCCCCAACGAGCATTTCAAAGCTCTGAGAATAATAAACATATTCGGAACCAAGATACTGCCAATCGGTTAGCACCATCGAACTCAGCGTCTGTTGGTGGTGGTAATATTTCTCTGGAGTTATGGGATGATGAAACATTTGATGATGCAATATTGACTCATGCTGCTCAATCTATGGAGAGACAGCTGAATAGTACAACAGATGGTAAATTCTTTTAACTCTTAGGTTCTATCTCTGTGTATTCTAGTTTCATTAGCGTTTCTATGATTAAAAATCCTCGGTTTTGTATTAGTTCATGTAGTTATCGCACCGGTAGTCATTTAATCCAAAACGACTGGTCACAATTCAAGTTATTACTTCTGAACGTGGATATTTGCGTGCCTTTGAACTGCAGTTTTCGGTCGTCACTTTATTTTTATGTCAGTGATTAGCCTATTTCACTCTTAGCCTCTTGTTTTTTATCTTTTTTATATACTACTTGTGAGTAACTAAACACGATTTTTAGAATTAATGGTTTGGCGTCCAAATAATTCAATATATAAAATTACAGAATCAGAAAGAAAGAACTGTGATATGGACAGTTCCATTTGAAATAAATGTGTACACTTCAGTTTATGACATCGTGATGGGGATTTTTGTTCACTTAGGATCGTGATCAAAGCGCATTCTTAGGACAATACTGTGTATTTCGAGTGAATTATTTGTAAACAATCTCTTCAGTAGAGCTTAGTACAATATTACAGGAGTGGATGATGCTTTTGTTGAGTGTGGAATGAGGAACAGACATCATTTTACAGATGTACTGCTATAGTAGATTTCCAGTTGTTAATTTTACTCCCGATGGCTTGTATCCGTTCTAGTCTGTCATTCTAAAATATTCTAATATTACTTCGTACCATATGTACAACCCTCTTTGGTACCCAACTAGGTTTCCCATTCTTTCTGGCTTATCTCTTTTTGGGGCATCACATAACAATTTATTTCTGTTTAAATACGTATAGTCTAAATGTACCCGTAATTCATTATACCACAGTTAGGTTGAGAAATATATGTACTGGTTTCATATGTATGTACTATTTTAAGATAGTATTCATCGTGGACTGATATCAGTTGGGGAACCGTTGAAAACCTGAGAGCACGGGGACTCCTTGGCAGTATGCATTCAAGACTCATTAGGGGAAGAATAATACACAACTGCTGGTGTAGTGAGTGCTACTGATGAGAATACATATAAGTAGTATGTGTTGAGACGTTGAAAGAATTCATATGCAATTACGAGCAAATTCATATTTCAGTGGAAAGGTTATAATATTTCATTAGTATTGTACTACGTGAAGTATATCAAATTGACAACTCAACCAGGAATTATTATTATTATTAAATTTTTTGTCCCTTGGGTTCCTAATAGAACATAGGGATTCAGTAGCACGTCTCCATTCCAATCTCTTCTCTGCAAACTTTTAAACCTCGCTCCACGACAGCCAACAAGCTCTCATTTCTTCCTCTCACCATCTCCTCCATGTCACCCTCAGCTAGGACACTCAACTCGTCTCTTCCCATCTGGTTTCCACTCGAGCAACTGGCCTGGCCTGACCTGGCCTGACGCGTGATGTCCCCAGTCTGCCTTCTCAGTGTATGCTGACTCAAATCCATCTCCACTTCCTTCTGCATATTTGTTGAGCGATGGGTTCTTGGTTGGTTCGTTGCCAGAGTTTCTTGTTGCTTGTTCTTATTATTCTGGACATCTCATCTGATCTTCAGTATCGAATGAGCATAGGTGGCAGATATTGATGCGATGTACGTCTGTAGTTTGTTGCAAATGCTTTTCGTGAGGCACCAAGTCCCTCAACCATCACATACAAGCATTGACATGATTGACACTAGTGTTGGAAATCCGGATCTTGTTCCACATGCTGAGTGCAGAAGATCTCCACACTGGTTTCAGTTTGATGAACGCCTTTCTTGCTTTTCCGATCCTGGCTGGCTTTGACGTCCTCGTCTGTGCCACCTGTAGTTGAAACAGTGCTGCCTAGATAGGTGAAGAAGGCTACTTCCTTTAGATGTCTCCCGTTGATTGTGATTGGAGCTTGTTGTTGTTGTTGTTGTTGGTTGGGTATCTTCATCACGTCTGTCTTCTCTACGTTCACCTGAAGGAAATCCCATCTCTCTTCGCTGCCTCATCTCTCCTGTCAACTTGTTGGTTTTCGCCTGTAGATCTTCAAGTTTGTGTGACATCAGACATAAGTCGTCGGCGAAATCTAAGTCTTCTAGGTTCTTTTCCGCTGTCCAGTTCATCCCCCTCTTCTCGCTTCTCAGTGTTTGTTGCATGATCCAGGGGACCACAATCAGGAAGATCATTAGTGATAGTAGGTGGCAGCCTTGTTTTACTCCTGTCTTCACTTGAAAGGCATCATTGAGTTTCCCATTGTGAATTACTTGGCATGCGGCGTCCTCATATAGTTGTTGAATGAGATTCATAAAGATTTGTGGTATTCCGTAGTGTTGAAGCAGCTGCCTTGCAAATTACTTCTCGGTCGACGCTGTCGAAGGCCGGCCTTATCAAAGTTGATGAAGTTGAGGTGGAGAGTTGACTACCATTCTATACTCTGTTCTATGATGATGCGTAGCGTTGCAATTCAGTTCGCACATGATTTGTATTCTTAACTAGTAATACACAGAGGAAATGAGACAATATAAAGATAGAAAATAGAAGTAGAAAAAGTGAAGTTTTGAAATGCATCACATAATCCTAGTTTATTTCTGTGACATCTTTCTTAACGTTATATGTTTAAGCCACTATTACTAAATAAACACAAGTGTACTGATATACTTGAATAAATTGATAAATAATGTCAGTCTATGATGAATACTACCTTAAAATAAATTGGCAATAAGCTCAAAACACATTGGTTTATAGTGCTCATTAGTGTCATGCTTCAAGATGGATATCCTGAAGTTCTAATGAGAAGCAATGACCTATGGAATCAGCTGGTTGAACGTGAAGCGGATACCTATTGAAGACCTTGGTTGATAGTCACACTATATCGCGAATTGACAGAAGTAGGAAACTGTGGACTATCGAAATCTAACCCCAGTGGCTAAATGGCTAGTGCGTTCGCCGTGAAAATTGAAGATGCCTATCAGGGTCGTAGTTGCGTACTACTGAGGAGTCCCATACATGGGACGAAACAACTGTTCAATGCTCTCAAGTTTCCAATACTTCTCCTGCTGATGTCATTCCGTGATGAATACTACCTTAAACAATATCACTCACTGGGATATAGGTACATCCAGCTGACGAGTCGTAAATAAGATTTCAATGCTAGCCACTATCCATCATTAAAGCTACTCTTTGTTATCCAGTAAAATAATAACACATGGAATTATATTTTAGTTAGCAAATTCTTTTGGAAACTAAGTTTTCTCAAGTTCGTTTGCAGTTCGCATTACAATATCTTTAAATGGTGTTTGATATTTCAACTATTCTTAATAATACACTTCATCTCAAATGTGCATCCACTTATGCTTTTTTGTGTTCTGTTGTATCACTTTGGCAGTTATTCACAACTACCGTTTAGACTTTGTTAACCGTTTAGTCGGATTCTGAAGTCAATTGACAGGCTCCTTAAAGTGTGTAGGTTTCAATAAAGTAATCCAACTAATATCTGAATACTGAGAGCGTACATAAAGTAAAATCTTCGCCATATTCTCAATTCTAGATGGTCTCATCCAACTCTAGGTCTATGACTGACTGAAGAAATCATCGTAGAACCTTACATACAGATACATCAGCTCAAGTTACCACACTTTACAGTAGTATATAAAGAACAGGTGAATGGGAGTGATATCAAAGAGGTTTCAAGTTTATATGAGAGAATAAGCCATCTGAAGAGAACGGTTGGTGCAAACATTCAAGCTTTAGAAGATGTTGAGGAGGTGAATACATCTGCGCCACTGCAACTGAATTTCAGCCATGTCACCAAGACTTCTCAACCATTGATTATTTTCATCTCAGGGACCCTGACCAGGCAGTGTACATCTCCTTACATGTCTCAAACTGACAGGCAAGAACTTTATTTAGGATTATGACTTAGAATCTGGAATGGTGATACTCCTTTGCTGCTTGGATTGTTGAATAAATAACCAGTCATTGGGTTATAGATTCCTACATTGTTCCAAACAGTTCGATTTCGTCCATTCTTACGTAGTAGATATTTTTCACTATTTCTTGCTCAAATCTATGTGTCACCTTTGATTTGTATTCATTGGGTAATATTTTCTACTTAAATATATTTTTGTATGCAATCATGACTGTAGGCCTACCAAATTTTAGACAGTCTACCCATTTATTCAACGATCCACTTCGACTACCAAGTATTGTACCCCAAGAACAACAACAACAACATTCTAGTCAATCAGATTTGAGTATTAGTGAAGATAATACGTTGATAAACCGAAGTGATGGTGATCAGCCTCATGATTTCGCTGATGACATTGGTGATAATGTTGATAATGATCCATTTTTAGAAGATCAAGTTGATCCAGATATCTTAGCTTCAGCTTTAGCTGAGTTAGATCACCAACCGGTTATTGAACATGTTGAATCCCTAAAAATTAATCAACAAAAAGTAACTGAAATAAAATCGTTTCATTCTATGACAAAAACAACACCTGGAATACCATCTTTACAGTTACCGTCATCATCATCGTCATCGTCGTTATCAGTAATAACTAAGAGTTTTGCACCAAATCAATTACCGAGATTACAATCAGAGCCAAAGCAAAGTTTAAAACAAACACTTCTAAATTTACAGTCACGTAATCGAATGAGAAATGAAACAATCACAAACAACTCTTCTTTGAATACAATGCCAATTAAAACGTGCACAATGGAGCCAGTAAAATCAAGTTGTATAAAAGTGAATACTAATATTGATGGCAGTGAAGATCTTTTACCTCCTGCGCCTAAACGTAAACAACTTGACTTGAAACAAACTAATTGTGTTACAATCAGCAGTAATCTTAAAAATGCATCACAACCTACATCTTCTTCATCCAACCTGTCAAGTGTTTTAAAGTTGACAGATGAAAAATATAAGTCGTCAATTCAGAGGTTTAGTGATGTTGATGATAACACTGATGCTCAGTGTAGTCTTAGTTACCACCAGTCTTCCAATTCATTGGAGAGAAATTACCAATTTCAGCCTTTTTGCTATATTCAAGTAAGTTGCCTATTTTAACTATCTTTATGTGTTTTTTTTTCGAAATCCAAGATTATCGTTTATTCAGAATCTGTGTAATTGGATCAATCATTTCATGATTTCAAAACTTTAAGTAAGTGATTTGAATCTTCAGTTTTGCGTTAAGAATAAAATTGTATTCGACTATAAGAAGAAATGAGAGCTTGTGAGCTGTGGTGAAGCCGAGTTCAAAAGATTGCAGAGAACAGAGTGCACTGGAGACGCGCAACTGAAACCCTATGCTCCACTAGGAATCCAAGGGACAAATAATAAAAAAATAGGCTTCTTTAATTTTCAGTCTAAGCGTGAAGACTTGACATAATTGGAATTTTGTATCTAAGTTCAGTACCCATTGGGGCTTGGACCAATGAGTCATATTTTCATATCTTGCCATCCATCTCTCGTCTGTTGAGCTTTCATTGTTGTTGTAAAAGAAAAAACCTACTTCATTTATTCTAAGATCAAATCAGTATCTATGATACTAGTTAGTCACTATTCTGTGTGAGGTTGATTATTTGAGATAGCCGTCATTTGAGACTTGTATTGATTACTGGGTGATGACGGAAGGTGAAATGGGAATTTTGCGCCGCTGCAGGACTGGAACCGACAAACAGTGGGTTTCGACCAGATGCTCTACTGAGTTACGTGACCCAACTACTGATCCGATTTTTATTTCGCTTCAATTCACGGTTATCCTAAATAGTCAAACTGATCAATCAATTTATTACTTCGTCTATTTTAAGTAAATTTGGATGTTCTGACTGGGCAGCCAGTGTGAGTACGACTGAACAATAGTAATGCATCAAGAATTCATATGACTATTGAGAAAATCCTTGGTGACTAAAGCGAAATAAAAATTTAGCCAGCAGTCGAGTCTCGTAGCTCAGTTTGTAGAACATCAGATGGGAAAATCGGTGGTCACTGGTTGAAATTCTCCCGTGGTTCAAATTTCATTTCACCTTCACTTATCACCCAATAACTATGCAATATGTCACTCATATAAATGTGGAAACATTATGATAGTCGATGATGCCAAAGTATTCTGGATCCTATTTTAAGAACTGAAAAACCATATGGAATCAATACCTGGAGTTGAAAGAAATGTTGCTCGTAAGATTGATTTGAATTACCTTCTACTGAATAAATGTCCGCTGTTTTGTCAAAATTCCGATTGTCTTTACTTTTTCTACCAGTTCATGCACGGGAAAGACATCCGTTCATTTATATTGAAGATAAGTTTTTTTTTACAATTTGTTGATGTTATGAAATAGCAATAGAAGAGAAGATCATTAGAAATGTAGGAATACTCGAAAAAATTCAAAGAAAGACATGAGTGTTTATAGGAAAAAGTGGAATGTTTTAGGTATTGCTGAAGTCCACACATTTATGCTAAGTCCATACCAATAGTCACTAACTTTCATCCCTTGGTCTAAACCTACTTAGATAAAACTTGTTGTATGTAATACATATATTCAAGACATCTTATTCGGTTCAATTTCGGAACATTGATCGATTTATTACTTTTGATTTGTCTTCCACAAACAATTCCCTGTGGTTCTACCACACATGAGCAATACCACGAAGATATCTATCTCCAAAAAGCTGCAACCTCCTCATGTTATACACCTTCACTAGCTCACACAGTGATAGGGTGAAACATAATATACTTGGCTGTATGATAGACAGTTGGATATTTTACTAGTGCTGAAAATTATACCAATGATATCTGAATCAACCTTTTGTTAAAGATGTTTATCTGGGAACGGATCGTTGCTACTTTCAGTAATATTGCTAGTTTAGGCAAGTATCAAATGTTTAATAACACTATCGCATAGTCTAGTTCACTGGTGATGCGTGAAATGTGTGCCAGCAAATATTATCAGTCGGTTTATTGACCCATATGAAAGTGAACAAATACAGTAGGACAATATTACGTTAACACATTTAGAAGTATACGTAGTAGAGAATAATAGTGACCTTCAAACAAATTTTAGCAGCTGTTGTGGTAGATAATGAATAAAGATGTACAGTACAGTAGTGTTATTGTCCACCAAAGATGAGACTGCTAGAACACAAGCTTGATTAATTGGATGAATTCAAAGTTTACGCTAACAAGTGAATCTAATACACTAGTCGCGATAACGTGTTGGAGTTTTTAATGTTGTGTGGTGCCCGAATACTCAGTTCATAAATATGCCTTCATATTTAATGAGGTCATCCTCTCGTCACCTAATTACACAGACGTTGACCCGATCACAGGTGAATTTTCTTTAGATCTAGAATATGCAGATGACATAGTCCTGTTAGGTGAAGACGCTGACAAGATGCAGAGTCTTCTGAACACTTTGAGTGGGAATTTGAGAATGTTTGGGATGCGATTTTCACCACCCAAATGCAAATTTTTGCTCCAGGACTGGTCTTCAGCGGTGCCCCACCGCGGCTAACAATAGAGAGTGAAGTGGTTGAGTGTGTTGACCACTTCACTTACCTGGGAAGTAGGATCAACCCCGGTGGGTTGCCGATGAGATTTCTGCACGGATACAAAAGGCTCGATTGACTTTTGCCAATTTTGCGCCACCTATGTCGCCGCTGTGATATCCGTTTGTCTATTAAGGGTTGCGTGTACTGCACAGCAGTCCGCTCCGTTCTACTGTATGGCTGTGAAACATGGTCATTGAAAGTGGAGGATACAAAAAGGCTTCAAGTGTTTGACCACCGTTGCCTTCGTAGTATAGGACGTATTCCGTGGTGTCACCATGTGAGTAATGCAGAAGTCAGGTGTAGAGTTTTGGGGAGAAGAGGTAAGTCAGTTGACGAGGTTGTGAACCTTCATCGATTAAGGTGGTTGGGACACGTACTACGTATGCCCACTCACCGATCGCCTCGTCACACAATGTTGGCTGAGGTGGGTCCAGGCTGGCAGAAGGCCCGAGATGGCCAGACTAAAACATGACACCAATGTATGAAGTCTCTGACTGTTGGTTTAAGCCATGTAGGACGATGCAGACTAGGTGGTTGGGGTCCACGGGACAAGAGGAACCAGTGGTTGGAGACCCTAGGTGATATGGCTCAGAACCGAAGTCAGTGGCTCAGATGTATACATACATTATCCTCATCTTAACAACGCTATGCCGAATCTCACTATTTTGTCACTCCTCTTTCCTTTTTTCTCGTACTTTATATTTCTTTTGACTGCATTCACTTATCTTCATCCTTCACCTCAATACCTTTCTACTTGATGTAGTGATATGAGATGAGGTGTGGCAACTCGGATTGTTACGCAGTAATGCCTGGTCCTATGTTGATAATGATGATTTAATGAGGTCCGATTGAGAATATCTAATATATTATTAGTATTTCAAACTATAGTAGATGTGACTATTGGCATGACTTTCAAAATCATTTCATTGAATAAATGTGCTCTCAAAACGTCATTATGATAAGCTTTTGAAAGATCATATAACTGATGGAGGTTCCTAGAAAAGTGTTAAAATTCACGACTTGACTGACAAAATTCACTTAGAACCTTGCACACAGATTCATGGACTTAAGTTGGTATACTTGAAAGTAGTACACAAAGAAGAAATGCATAGAAAAAAAGTGAACCTGGCAGTCTGCATCTTCAAACACGTCTCAGATCAGCAGTAAGAGACTTCATCGACTGAGTTCATGACTTGAATTGCTTTCTTTATCCAATACGACTATCATGACATGAAGAAACATATGTTTGAAGTTATTCTTTTATTAATTTATTATAAACAGTAACATTCTGAATGCAGATTATTCTTTTCAATGAATTCTCTTCAGATTCTACAATTATAAAATACAGTTGTACAGCATAAAAAACAAGTCGTGTTAGGGGCAGATACATTTTCAAAATGGAGTGAGATTTAGAGATTGTAAGGATATTGATTTATCGTTTTTAAATTGGTCAATATTGGAATGTTACATATACAGAAGAATGATCTAATGATGAACAAAAAGATAAGGAATAAGATGGCAGGAGTAGCCTTTAGTTTGCTGAAGGCCAAGACAGAAGTAATGCTTGGATATGTTATTTGTGAATGCAGAGTTCAGACTTGATCAATCTTACTGTGACAGCCTCGGCTGTGTTGAGCAGTTGTTGGTGAGCTACATGTGGTGTCGTTTTTGGAACACGATGAGTGACATCGTGTGATGCCCTGTGTTGAATAGATGCGCTAGGAGTGAACTTTTCACCATTATCACTTCTCCCTTTCTGAACCAAGCTGGTTAATGCTCTCGTATCCGGAGACGCACCTGTTTAATCGTACACCCATATGTAATTAGTTCCACAGGAATAGTTAAATTGATATATGCAAGGTGAAGAGCTAAGATTAGGCAGACTATCGTTTACTATCTGATTGAGCATTGGCTGACTACTGAGTGATGTGCAAAGCCGTCCTGTATGAAACGTCCTATTGACTGCTTTAGCTAGGCATTGTAGTAGAATGCCACTTGCAACATCTTCCTTGAGTTGTAAGCGTAGAAACGAAGGATTCTTCCCCACTATCATCAGTTCTCGTTTACGACCAATGTAGTTGATGTTGGTCTTGATGGACTTATCCGGATATCCGTTTTCACTTGGAATATCACGAATACACAGTAGTTCTTCTTCCATACACTTCTTGGAACAAGTCGATCTTACTATAAAGGCCAAGCAGCTAATTGTATTATGTCTGTACTTTATTGGCATCTGAGACACTATCGAATCAAGCCAAAGTAGCAGCTAATGAATATATATTCCTTGTCAGCCTTTTTTCAACTTTATGTTTAGACATCTTAAAATATGAAAGACTTATCAAACCAGCTTTTATGAAGTCATGTTAATAAGTGATTCAGTTTGGAACGACTGTATGCTAAGAGATACTTTGAGGGCAGTTCTCAGTATCTGTTAGAATTATGTATACTTGGCAGAATAATCTTGTTTTCAAGGTGTATTCGTCATCGACTGCTAACAATTA